GGCAAAAAAATTGTTTCATTTCGTTTTGATTCCGATTTTGCATTATTTCGTTTTTCGGGATTCGGGTCCGAAAGTCAATTTGTTTCGGAATTAGGATGAAATTAGTTAGCGGTAGTCTGTACGAATAGTCGTTTTGTTCGTTCGTTGCAGCAAAGTGACATTTGAGAGAAAAAAATGTAAAAACATTTTTAGTCTGCTGAAGAGGGGGGAAAAAGCATGAGGTTCTCCCCTAATTCATACCAGACTCTTTCGGTCTGGTAGGATTGTTAGAAAGGACCCCCTCAAGTTAAATTAAAAAAAAGTGCATGGGGTTCCCCCCAAAATCCATACCGGGCCCTTTAGGTCGGGTAGAAATTGTAAGGGGGAACCCCAGCCCAAAAAAGTGGGGTCCTCCTTAACATTCCTACCAGACCCTTGATCCGAGCACAGGCCCGGCAGGGCAGGAAAGGGTGGGGGACAAACGATCGAGCGCCCCCCTTGCGCCTTACCAGGCCACGTGCCCTCGGCATGGAAAGGGTGTCCCCATGCCGATGGGTCAAGGGCCTCTTCCCCACAACCCTGACCCAGTGGTTGTGGGGGTCTGCAGACAAGGGGTACCCCTTTAAATAAGGGGGCACCCAGATTCCGCCCCCACACTTGTGAATGAGTAAGGGGCACTTGTACCCCTACTCATTCACTAAAGGGTTAAATTCAAAGTAAATAAACAAACCACACTTTAAAAAATCCTTTAATTGAAAAAAAAAACAAAGTCAATTTTTGACTATTTCTTTAATTAAAAAAAAATGGCTCCATTGATGTAATCCAGCGTCAATCACGATGCACGACGCCCGCCGACACGCTAAAATAAAAAAGTCCCGCCACACGACGACCGTCCGAACATGACGAAATCTCACCACAAAATGACCACAAAATGACATCTCCTGCCTGAAAGTAAACAGCTGTTAAATATCACATGGCATTCGGGAGCTCCCGAATGCTATGCGGGTCTGTACGCAGAGGTGTCATAGTACTTTTCATATGCAACAAACGAAAGGAATTTTGGAATTGGAAATTCGGATTCGTTTGCATTTGTTAAATCTCTAATACATACGAATCGCCGAAATTTCGTCCGAATTTCGATTCGCAACGAAAAAAATCACACATGTCTACTATATTGGGGAGAGCTGTAAGAGCGATTGGCGGCAGCATGTTTTTAAGTACTTCCCCCCTGGATCCTGCACAGGTCACCCCGAATGCGGTGCCCGGAGCACTTGCCCCCCCCCTAGTTTCTGGCCTAATTGCAGGACCCAAGGTTTCCCAGCAGAACATTGCCCAAACCATCACATTGCCTCTGCCGGCTTGTCTTCTTCCCATAGTGCATCCTGGTGCCATCTCTTCTCCAGGTAAGCGACACACATGCACCCGGCCATCCACACAGCTGTGAAACAAAATGTGATTCTTGAGACCAGACCACCTTCTCTCATTTCTCTATGGTCCACTTTTGAGGCTCACATGCCTATTGTAGGCACTTTTGGCGGTGGACACAGGTAAGCATGATCACCTAGATGGTCTGCTCATACGCAGCCCCATATGCAACAATACACCGTGTGTTCAGACACCTTTCTATTGGAACCAACAATAACTTTTTCAGCAATTTGAGCTATAGTAGCTCTTCTATTGGATCGGACCACAGGGGCCTGTCTTCACTCCTCACGTGCATCAATGAGCCTGGTTTGCCACGACCCTGTCATCAGATTACCGGTCAGCAAAACACACCCACTACAGACTGCCTGTAGAAAACTACAAGAAGAGGTGGATACAAGACCAGTCACCCTGCACATAGAGAGAGAGCAGCAGTGATTGGTCTTTATTACAGGAAATTGCTGCACAAAGTGAGAGGCAAAGTTTCACACAGGATTACTGTACCAATCTAGAAGAAATAGCAAAGCAAACCAGAATTTAAGTAAGAATACACATGCCTCTTGTATTTAGACAATATTTACTTATCCCTGAGTTCAGCTTTGATATGTACAAAGTAAGAATGGAAAACCTGAAAGATTAGTTATCACTTTCCGATATAAATGGCATCTCTGTCACATCGCTTTTTCTTAGAAAAAGGTGCTGAACTTGAACTTTGTTCCTGAACACTCTGATGTGGATGCAGCTCTCACCTACAGGTTATAGGTCTATAACACGTGTGAAATAATGACTGGCTCTCTCTTGGGCCACATGTGTACAGAGTGAACAATATTCCAAGAAAATCCATAGCAGTCACAGTAATATACGGGGCAGCTGTGCTGCAGTTAGAAATGGAGGACTGTCACTCTGATTTACATCATGTAGAGAGATTCATGGAGATTCTGCACGACATCATTGTGTGGGATTAGAGTCTACAATAAAGAAAACAGCAGCTTTTTTTTTTTTGGCCATGTCACTATGAACAGGCATTTCTGATGTAACCACTCGGCCTGCTTGTGCTTCAGTAAGCTGACAAAAGACAAATAAAAGGAGGGGGAGGAAGTAACTGTGATTTTCCACTAGGCCTGCCTGTCTGTGCATGACTCTGCTGCCAGCTCAACAAAGCTTAGACAACCTGATGCTGTGATCTGCTGGGGAACTGTAAGTGCCAGCATGCCATGACAGGCTTTAGAGACAATAGGCTTGTATCTGGTCTACAACTAGACACAGAAGCCCAGGTAGTCAAAGTTTTATATATATATACATATATATATATATAGAAGCTGCACCAAAAAGTGCTCGAGGGTGCACAAGATCTCCTATCTTCCATCTGAAGATAGAGGACCTTGAAATCCCCCACCCCTTCTTCCTGGGGAAAAAGACCCCTCACAGGGACAAGGCACTCTGGTCCATGTAGCCGAAGCCAGGTGGACTCTGATCCTTAGGGGCCATCCGAACTCAGTCTACCAAGCATTCATAAGGACTCTTGCCACAGATTATTGCCACAGATTCTCTCCCAGACATCTGGCCAGACCCCGAAAAAAAAAAAAAACTGCACCCTCTGCCCTTTGTGGAGTGAAAAAGTCCATACATGCTATATATAAATAGTGCCAGGTCCTGTAGCTTCAAGCTAGCCCTAAAGCCTGCCTAGGCAACATGTGCAAGAAAAGTTAAAGCGTAACCAAAGGCAAAACTTCTTTTTTTAGATTTGGACAGAGTGGTGACGGGTTAGAGCCACTGTCAGGTTTTTATTACAGTCTGTGTCCCCAGGAGATTCGGTTTCTCTAATTGTTTTGATTATCATTGTCATCGGTAATGAAAGTGTAGCGAAATCCAAAATTTTGAGTAGATACCAGAACAGGAAAACGGGAAATCTTCTGAAGGGGACACTTGCTCCCGTGACAACTGTCTCAGAGAAGATTTCCTTACATTGGAAATATATCCTCTCACTTCCTGTTTAGCCTATAGGACAGGAAGTGGTGGGCAATCACCAAAAAATGTTTGCCTTTATACTTTAAACATTAAAGGCTAAGTTTATCTTTGTGATTGTGTTTTCTGTTACACCTACAGGGCTGTACCTCTAATGTGTACTGTTTACAGACTACAAAAGCAAAACTTTCCCAGCACCTAGGTTAAAAACCTCTGTTTGTAACCCTAATAAGTAGACCTTGTATATATTTATTTTGCAGGCTGGTGAGTGTACTGGGAAACTTTTGGTTTTGTACTGAAAAGACTACAAGTCACATCTGCCACAGCGGCATCACCAGACCTGTAGTCCATTGATAACTTCCTTCATTTCTACCTCAGTACAGCCAGGGGCTGGCAGAATAGTCTGCAGGAGCCTGTGTATTACGCCTGTGATCCACTGATTGGGGGTGTGATGCTTAGCAGGCTTTAATGCTAATAAATTATTCAATACAATATTTATTTATTTTTTAATCAATATGGGGCATGTATTTTTTTTTCTGCAGAAGGTGGATTATGGGGGATTTCATAACAATGGAGCAGACAGAATTTGGAGTAGCTTTCCATAGATTCTTTCTTCAGTATGTTTAGTTATGCTTTGAAGGTGAAACAGAGAAACTGCTGCCTGCTCCAGTTTTTATGAATTCCACTGTCTTTCAAACCATGACTATGAATTCTAAAGATAATAGTCATACAATAAAATATTTGGATACTGATAACCCGACATTAGGAAGTACAATTTTGTACACGTTTCGTTTATTTTCTCACTCCTGCAGAACCCAGCATTCCCCTGACACAAGGGCCCCTCACTCTGGCACATTGCCACATCTCTCACACACGCTCCCTCCCCAGTAAACTGAATGACCCTTCTAGCGAAGGAATCTGTTTGCATAGCCCCGCCCTGTAATTGCCTCATTGGGTTCTTACCGCCTTCTGAGCTCCCATCAGCCAATCATTGGGCGCAGAGAGGCGGAGCCCGCTAATCAGCTCGTCTGATGCACTTGACGTCAACTCGTGCTGGCTGTGCCTTTTAAAAAGAGGTGGATACACGTTCTCCCTTATAAATTGCTAATATGGAACTTTGTCATTATCACCTATAGTTATTCGAATGAGGCCTCGGGGCAGAAGATATAATAGATACAGCAGGAGCTTTAGTCGCACTAGGATTGCAATTCACACTGTCATAGGTTAGGAGAGCCAGTAGAGACAGGGACATCGAGTTCTGTTTTCCTGCAAGCAGATCATTTATTCTATATAGTGTAATCATCATAATATATATAAATAGAGAGAGATATATAGACAATATTTATATAGTGTGTAAAATAAACTGGATTTATAGAAAAGAGTCTCACGTTTGACGTCATACACTGCAGCAGCAAGCATGGCACATGGTGAGTGATCTCAGTGTTGGGAGCTGGTGATGGATCAGAGACAGTGTGACGTAATCATACTATGTGATGTTACCAATCATGTGTTATATGGACTATGCAGAGGTATTTATTGTTAGGAAAGTTGTCCTTCCACCTGATTTTCTCTGCCCTTTGCCAAGATCTCTCAGTGCGTGGACTTGGCTGCCACCCAGCAGCATATCTGCTATATTGGTATGTCATTGGGAAGAGGGTCATACTTGCAATGTGCTCATCAGTGTCCTTTGCCCTGTGTTTGCTCCTGATCTATATGCTGTACAGTATAAGAAATGTAATAGATCTGATCTGCAACCATCATGTATTGATTATTTTTGTAAAGAAAGCAATTGCAGAAGTTTAGATGTCACCTGTGTTCACATTCTTCTTATTGTGTAAATGTCACTTTTTTTTTTTTTACTTTTTGTGCTGGCTTGGAAAAGTCGAACCGTTACATGCTTCATTGCAAAGCGTTTCCTTAAAGTTCTGAAAAATGATTCTTCTCTAGTTATAGGGCTCATGCACAATGAAGTACTTGCCATCTACGCAGTAGATTGTTATAAAAACTGTTCCATTCTTTTAAATTTCCACTCATGCATGTATAAGCATGCGTTTACATGCATACATCTGTAAATGATGGACCTCGGGCACAGATTTTTCCATTTTGATGTTACAGAATTGAACACAGCAAAAGTTTACTGATCTGTACATACGGTGTGCTTGGGAACTTAGAAAACTATAGATTTGCATTCTGATACAGAAACATAAAATTGCTGCACTGATATAAACACTGAGGGGAATTGATCAAAACGGAAGCAGACAAAATCTGGAGCAGATGTGCATGGCAACCAATCAGCTTCTCTCTTTCACTTTCAAATCTTAACTGAACAAACTGAAGAGAGAAGCTGATTGGTTCCCATGCACATCTGCTCCGGCTTTTATCTGCTGCAGTTTTGATGAATTCCCCCCACAGTGTTGTTTTTAGGGCCATATAGAGCTTGCTGTTCCCTTATGGCCTGCAGAGGGGATTGTCTAGACATTTTTATCTTCGCTTACTATAGTTAGGAGCATTGCTGGGTATAGCCCATTGCTCAGGCATGTTAGAGGGTTTCAAATATTCCATATTTATAATTAGTAAGGTATGTATGGAATTTAGACTAGATACAAATATGTTGGCTATCCTAATCTATTTTGAAGCCTGACCTGGTTGTTATAGGATGTTGTGATATATTTGTCCTTTTATCATAATACACAGAGTTTGCACTCATGTTGTAAAAGTACCTATTCTTTTTTATAACCTTCCTGTAGTCCCTTGCAGGGCAGGCTTTAGAGTAGGAATGGTCAAATCTGTAAACTAGTGCGGTTTTAATACATTTCTCAATTCTGTCACACTAATACTGGCACCATGCTGATAGGAGGAGAGAGCAGAATAAGACCAGAGAGCAGAATAAGACCATTTAATGTGGTGATGCCCCTTCTATCCAGGCAGCTGGGTGGTGGTGGGTCAATGACCATTGCCAAGCTGTATTGCCTAACTGCAGTGGAGCAAAGCAAGGTCAGTGACCTGACAATGCTGTCAGACAGGGGTCCCTAAATCAGAATACTGTCTGGAGAGATTTATGAACCCTCCAGACAGTAACATAATGCACATATATGCATTTCAACGGTATATTTTGCAGTTTACCTGAGGTTTGACTTTAAAGTTGAACACCATGCACACAGTTAAAAGCACAGATGAAGTACATATAATGGAGCATTTTTGCCTGCCAAAGAATTTGTACTTCTGTCCATCCATTCCTGAGATCTACACAGCTCTGCCACACAGCATAGCCCCAGTGTGGAAAGGTAGGATACATCATTTTTCAGCAATGCAGTAAGAGTCTTGTCCTTTCCCCAGCCTGTGATTGGACAGGGAAAGGAGAATCAATAGGCTGATGAGCTCATCTCTCCATCCTTCTTCTTTCTCCTACTATTAGCATGTTCCTTAGCAGCGCAACTGACTGGTTCATTGGGCTGCTTCTCCCTGTCCCAATATGAGCTCTGCTGTACAGGAACTGATACCAAGTCAAATTCTGGTACTTACACTGCTTCCATTATATATGGTGTAGGAATGAGTACAGATCTGCATTTATGTATATATTTTATTTCTGCCTGGAGTTCAGCTTTCCTCGAAAGAGCTACTGTCATGAGTTTGGCTTGCTGTCAGTGAGTCCTGGACATTGCACTCTGAGTAATGCATCGCCTTAGGAGGCAACTCTAGCTTTAAATGATCACAACTAGCAATAAAGGAAATGTGCTATACACATGTCTGCAGCAAACCTATGCATGGTAATAAAGTCAATATCGTTTTAGAATATGGTGTGTTCTATATACTTGCAATGACAGATTGCAGTATATGAATTCCGTTTTTCATTGCACAAGCCTTTATATTTTTCTCCACCTTTGCATGCAGACCAAGCTGTCCAGCAAAAGTAACTATCACACTTCCTGGTGGGCTTTAGAAATGACAGTAACTTTTTTACAGAACTCTGGGTAATTTTTTTTATTAACCCCTGGAGTGGGGCTAACCCCGCACTGCAGTGGTTAACTGTTCGTTTTGGTCTGCAAATAACAAATATATGCTCAGCCGATTCTCCGAGCTGGCCGGCTGTGACGGTGCTTCCTGAGGGGCTTGTTCACACTATGTCCAGACTATGTCCAGACCAGAACAGTTTGTATTTCTGGGCTCTGTTCACACCAGCGCAGTCCGTTCTGGTCCAGACAAAAAAAGAAAATACTGCTTGTCTCATTTTCCCTGGTCTGGAATGCATGGAAATACATCAAAATGCATGCAAACGCACTGGACTGCATCTGAAAGCCCATTTTAAACTAAAAAAAATGCACCGGAACGCGGCAAAATTGTGGCAAAAATGCACTGCAGTGCATTTGCAGATCTGCTCCAGATCTGGTCCTGGCATGGTGTGAACAGAACGTAGCCTGAAGCCTGCCTCCACCACTGCAGCAATGGAATGTCCCTTGGCATTCTCACATCCTATACACTGTTTATAGAACGTGATGATATATAGGACCTTAGACTGCTGTAGCGGAGGGAGATAGAGGCTCCAGGGACCGGTCTAAAAATCCTCGTCGCCCAGCCGAAAATCCGAACTGCGCATGCGCCCGCCCCACGATGATTTGCGGCCGCCCGAGCCGTTTCGGATTTTTGGACGGGAGCGCGCGGCGAAGGCAACGGTTAGTCTAAAAGCGTTTTTCTTTTTAATATATACATTTTTAGCATATATCTAGTGCTTGCTAGCAGTAGATATTTGCAAAAAAAAGTGAGGGTTTAGAAACCCTTTAATAAAAGAATTACACAGAGTTCTTCTTTAATTAAAATTGTATAAAAGGTGACCATTTGGAGACATGCCCGACTTCAAGGCGAAGCCCTGCCAACTGCCTGTCCAATTAGAATCGCCAGAAAGAAAACTCTAATGGCACAAGGAAAAGGTAGTTAGCAGAGCTTTACCGTGAAGCTAGTGAAGATGGTCCATAGTAACAAAGTGACAACAGTTTCAAAAGAGGTAGAGAGAAGAAAGTTTTCTGGATAGTAAAGGTACTAGCTGATATGTTTACTTTTGCACATTTAAAATGCCTGAGAGGCTCATTTCACATATAGTTGTGAACACATCTATCTAACGTAGGGTGTACGTGCTTAGAATTGTGAACGAACGATTAAATTGATTTCAGAACATTCCCTTGACTTTCTGATCATAGATGCAGTGAAATCCATGATTGTTTTAGATTGCAGTTGTGGAAAAATTCAACTGAGCATGTTGGAATTTTTTTCTCAATCGAACAAAATTGGAAAGGTAAATGTGGTATTCGGTCGGAAAACTCCATCCATTCCAAAACCAAATGTTAAATAAAAATTAAAATCAAACTAAATTTCAAAGGACAATCACTAAGCCTCTGATGGTATTATCGAATGTTCCAATGGGATTTTTCATACAAAGTTTGTGTGAAAATCTACCTGTGTATACCCTACTTAAGTTGACCCCAGAATGCTTCCTTCCTTATTCTGAAGCACATTAGCTGTCTACAAAAGTTAGGGACACTCTTGTGCAACTGTTGATTCTTTGCTCTACTAGGAAGCTGGTACTTTACCCCCCCCCCCCCACCTCAAAACCTAATAAAATCCCTAAAATAAGCCCTTAACGCTTAACTCTCCTCCTAACATAAAGCATCTAATAAATAAGCGTTCCATAAAACATAATCTCAACAATTTTAACACTTAATCGAACCCTTAAAGCGGACCTTTGCACTCAAAAATCAAATCCTACCAATGCATCCCTCTATGTGTGATGTTTAATAATAACATGGACATGTCAGGTGTAAAATGCTGTGATTCTGAAATATTTAGACTTGCAGAGCATTCACTTCCTGCTTTGAATGGGCAAGATGACTTCAGTTTGCCAAAGCAATGCACACTGGGATTGCCTTGTCATCAGCAGAGCATTGCTGGGGAATCTCATCTGTAATCCTATGAGATCTCAGGGAAAGGCATTTTCCTCCACCGAGATGATGTGCATGGTCACATGTCTAGTCACATGTGCCAGAAATCCAGGAAGTAAAGGAGAGCTAGTAATCTACCATTAGTAAACATGGCCACTGTCAGATGACTGGGGAAGAAAAGAGAAATAAGGAATGCAAAGAATACAAAGCTGGCAATTATCTAAAAGTATGTGTTTGTAGATTGTCATTACTAAACATTTCTAAAGACATATTTGTTGTCATTTTAAAGATATGAGTCTTTAATACTTTAACTCCCCCACACACACAGCAGTTATACCCTAAATGCGAAGCCTGGGGCACTAACCTAATGCCTAAGCTAAGCCTTACCAGTAAATAATTCCTAGTCCGCCTACTCACCACATTTTGCGCTAAGAGCCTTTCTGTCTCAAGAGCATGCAGCTCGCGCCATAAAATGACACAGCACTGAATTCTCGGTGCACATTGATCCAAGATTTGCAGTCCAATCAAGACCTCTCATTTGGGAGAAAAGATCTTCAGGTCCTACGTATCTCTCTTCTTTATACTTTCGGGTGTATTATCCTAATGTTGAATTTTTCAGGACAACACCCTTATTACCCATCCTTAATTAACTGTGTTTAAATCATTTTCTTCTGCTAGTCTTTTTTTTGTAGTGAACTGTGTAGCGCAAGTGAGAAGAGGTTTTTAAACTATCCAATTAGGTGCATGATGCCATTGTTGGACTCTATGGCATATGCCATTTTAGCCTAACTAGGTATAAGTATATGTCCTTACAGATTTTAGTCAATCATTGTCCAGTTCTACTTAAATTGATAATGGCCAATTCATTTTTTTCAACCCACAAAACCACAGGTGGGTGCCCCCCAAAACAAAAGTGATTTTTGAACGTAAGTGACCAAGATCATTTTTTATTCTTTCAGAAATACTGTAAGAAAGATTTTTGCAAAAAACAAATCTATTGTGCAGCTCTCTGGACATATTAGGGACTGCATTTGAGGGACTCTATATTGATAAGTTTCCCACCACTGGTTTAGATCCTTTAATGTAGAATAAATGTGCAGTGTGGGTTAGGCATGTTCACTAATCTAATAATATTTTCTTGTTACCAGAAGTGAGACAAACGATGATTGAGTTTTGGGCGGAGCACTCACGTGATGCAACGGTAGAAGAGATGATGCTGGATTCAAGTGCTGTGATTTTATCCAAGGAGGAGAAGCCTGAGATTATATCATTGTTGCCTTGCTTAGATGGCTTAAATGTGTTGGAACTTGGAGCTGGCATTGGGTAAGGATTCCTGAAAGAGTTCAGTAGACGGGATCAAGTGTCCTTCTTAGCAAACAAAGCAATATTTTTGCAGTTTTACAGATTGTGTCCACCTCTGCATGGTTTAACAAAAGCCTGTTCCAATGCCACATAGCAGACCAACTTATTTCTGCTCCTCATGATATCCTGCGCCTCACAAATTTTAAAGTTCCTGGAGATCAGTGTATACAATTATTCTTTTTAAGCTATGGACCTAATACAGAGCTGCAGCTAACGATTATTTTCAAAATCGATTAGTTAGCCAATTATTAAGTACGATTAATCGGGATAAAAAAATGGCTCCAGTGATGGACTACTAGTTTGTATTGACATTGCAGTCCATTACAGGAGCAAGAATTGAGCGGTTGAAGTAAAAAAAAAAAAAAAGTCTGGTGTGCAATATAGTGAAACGGAAAGTGTAAAATTATACAGCAATCAATGCAGAATGGCACCGGCTATAGAGGACTACAAAGCCCAGCAATAATACATTTTACAGCGCAATGCAGAATACCATCAGCTATAGAGAAATACAACAAATCCCAGCAATAGTACATTATAGCTGGTGGTATTCTGCATTGCGCTGTATAATGTACTATTGCTGGGTTTTGTATTCCTCTATAGCTGGTGGAATTCCGTAATACAACAAATCCCAGCAATAGTATATTACACAGCACAATGCAGAATACCACCAGCTATATAGGAATACAACATATCCCAGCAATACATTATACATACATACAGTGTTGCTGGGATTTGTATTCCTCTATAGCTGATGGTACATTGCTCCGTATAATATACAGTACAGCACAATGTACCATCAGCTACAGAGCAATACAAATCCCCAGGGCTTAAAAAAACTACTTGTCCGCTCGTCTGTGACGAGAGGACGGTAGAGCCCGACGAGCAGCTTTACATTCAAGTGATCGGGCGTCTCTAGAGACGCTTGATCGCTTGTATTAGCAGCTGTCACTGCTGTTGCCGGTCCCGAGATCCGCTGTGCCCGGTGCGGCCGGGACCGGCACGTCTCTGTGATAGGAGACCAAAGGGAGTTCAGTATACGAACTCCTTTTGATCTCCTCTCAGTCCCCGAATGCAGGAAGTGATGTATATTACATCACTTCCTGCATTTAGTGTCACTCTCCAGCTACAGAAGCTGATGAAACTGATCTCTGCTTCATCAACTTCTCTGGGGGTCCCTGATGTCTCCATAAAGAGGACCTGTCATGAAAATTGTCTATCACATAGGGGGCTTCTTATCCCCCCATGTAAGAGCAATAAAGTTGTGTGTAAAAAAAAAAAGTAATACAAAATTTAAAGAATCTTAAAAAAATAAAGCATAAAACAAATTAAAAAATATATATTTTTTAAGTCCCCGTCCCCCACATACACACGCAGATATGCGTCGGGTGCGCCTACATCTGAAAACGAAGATTGCCGATTGCGCCTTTTGTGCCGCACATGTTACATATCGCCGCAAACGTCGGAGTGAGAGCAATAATTTTAGAGCCATTAATCACTGATAGCACTAGACTGATGAGCAGTAAAAGCGTTTTAATCGTCGCCTTTTTTGTGGACGCACGCAATTTTAAGGCTTGACATGTTTGGTGTCTATTTACCCGACGGGACCCCGACTTTTATGTTTTACTAAAAATATGGATAAGAATAAATGTTTTATAATATAACGTAGGGAAACTTTGTGGGTTTTTTTTACCATAAAAAAAATAACCCCCCCCCCCCAGTGGTGATTATATACCTCCAAAAGAAAGCTATATCTGTCCCCAAAACATTTTAACATAATTTGCAAGGCTATAGTCTGGTCACTGGTGACATTTTTGACTGACTGGTGAGACACCATCAAATTTTTCAAGCCCTGCAAATCCCACTATCCCAGCAATACATTATAGAGCACCATGGGGGGGGCAGGCTTACCTGAGCAGTCTTCCAGCAACTTGTTTCTGAGATCGGGCCTGTCTGTCTGCGGCTGTCATCCCCCCACACCTGCTCCTCCTTACTTCTTCTCCGATGTGGATGTGGGCGGGCGGGGAGCGCGAGACGGGGAGGAGGTGCGACGTGTGGAGCGTGGATGCGGGCGAGCGTCAGGCGGGGAGGGGTGGAGCGTGGAAGCGGGCGGCAGGTCTGGCAGCGGCGAGCGTGAGGCGGGGAGGAGGTGCGGCGTGTGTGGAGCCGTGAACACGGCCAACTAATCGAAAGCCGATTAATCAATGATTGAAAATATTGACAACTGCCAGTCACCGCTCTCTGCAGGGAGATGATCGAGATTTGAGCGAGCGACGGTATGTATTCGCTCACTTCTAGATCTATTGAGCAGATATCTGACAGTTTCATTGTCCCACGTCGGCTCGAACTATGAGGATGAGTGATTTTCACTCACCTCATAGTTCTCCTTTAAATTCTTTTTTTCTCATTAATCTACACTCAGTACCCCAAAATGACAAAGTGAAAACAGAATTTTAGAAATGTCTGTGAATTTATTAAAAGGAAAAGACTGAAATATCACATTGGCACAAGTATTCAGACCCTTTGCAACAACTGTTGAAACTTAGATCAGGTGTCTCCCATTTATCTTGATCGTTGCTGATATGTTTCTACACCTTGATTGGAGTCCACCTGTTACAAATTAAAATGATTGGACACGATTTGGAAAGGCACGCCTCTATAGAAGACCTCACAGCTGACAAGGCATACTGTATCAGAGCAAAAGCCATGAGGTCAAAGGAACTGCCTGCAGAGCTCAGAGACAGGATTATTGCAAGGCACAGATCTGGGGAAGGCTACAAAAAGTTTCTGCTACACTGAAGGACTCCAAAAGCACAGTGGCCTCCATAATCCTCAAATGGGAGAAGTGTGGCACAACCAGGACTCTTTCAAGAGCTGGTCGCCCAGCCAAACTGAGCAATCAGGGGAGAAGGGCCTTAGTAAGAGAGGTGACCAAGAACCCGATGTTCAATCTGACTGAGCTCAAGTGATCCTGTGTGCAGATGGGAGAAAGTGCCAGAAGGACAACTATCACTGCAGCCCTCCACCGATCTGGCCTTTATTGCAGAGTGGCTAGATGGAAGCCTCTCCTTAGTGCAAAACACATGAAAGCCCATTTGGAGTTTGCAAAAAAGCACCTGAAGGACTCTCAGACTGTGAGCAACAAGATTCTCTGGTCTGATGAAACCAAGATGAAACTGTTTTGCCTCAATTCTAAATGTTATGTCTGAAGGAAATCAGGCACCGCTCATCACCTGCTCAACAACAGCTCAACATTGAAGCATGGTGGCAGCATCATTATGCTGTGGGGGTGTTTTCCAGCAGCAGGGACTGGGAGACTGGTGACGGTTGAGGGAAAGCTGAATGGAGCAAAGTACAGAAATATCCTCATTGAAAACCTGTTCCATAGCACTCAGGACCTCAGACAACGATCCTAAGCACACAGCCAAGACAACACAGGAGTGGCTTAGGGTCAACTCTGTGAATGTCCTAGAGTGGCCCAGCCAGAGCCCTGACTTGAACCCTATTGAACATCTCTGGAGAGACCTGGAAATGGCTGTTCACTGACGGTCCCCATCCAACCTGACTGAGCTTGAGAGGATTTGCAAAGATGAATGGCAGTGCAAAGCTTGTCACGTCATACCCAAAAAGACTCGAGGCTGTAATTGCTGCCAAAGGTGCTTCAACAAAGTACTTGGTAAAGGGTCTGAATACTTAAAGTAGTATTAAGGTCTGGGCGTATTTTACCCTAATGCATTCTTTGCATTAGGGTAAAAACGGCCCAGCACCTTTTTTCTACCCCAGTCCCCCTCACACTTACCTGTCAGCTGCGCTCGTCCCCGCCACCGGTCCGATGCGATCCTCCATTTCCCGAACTTTCGGTTGCAGGGGGAGGATACTGATGGCACAGGAGCCATAGGCTCCTTCTGCCATTAATCAAAGAGGGAAGGGGCGTGGCCTGTCCATAGACACACACAGCCACTGTGGAAAGAACGATGGTGGCACCCGTGCAGGGGGTGGGGGGGAAAGCGCTGCGGTGAGCCACTAGAAAACGAGGAATTAGAAACTTTTAAAGAAAAAGAGCAACATCTCCAGCAAAGGAGGGTCTCCTTAAAGGAGAAATAAAAAAAAAATAGGCTTTAATATCCCTTTAAGTACATGTAATATTTAATTTTTTTCCTTTTAAATATATTTACAGACATTTGCCAAATTCTGTTTTCACTTTGTCATTATGGGGTACTTACTGAGTGTAGATTAATGAGAAAAAAAAAGAATTTAAACAACTGTAGTATCAAGGTGCAACATAACAAAATCGAAAAAGTGAAGGGGGTCTGAGTACTTTCTGAAACCACTGTAGACTGTGTATCTGGTCACAGAATACACATAGCTTGCATTTTTTTGCTCCTTTCCTTTATATAGCTTTTACCCTTCCTTACATCAGATGTCTACATGAGTGGCCTGCTGATGCACAGTTCATAGATGAAAATAAAGCGCTTTCTGGATGTTTTAAATTTATGTCTCGGAGGGCGTGAATAGCCATGTTTCCGTGTTTGCTGATGATACTAAAATTGGGATGGTAATAGACACGGACTTAGACACTATAACATTACAGGAGGACCTGGATAAAATAGGGGAGTGGGCAACTATATGGCAGATGAAGTTTAATGTCGATAAATGTAAAGTAATGCACTTTGGGGTTAAGAATAGGCAAGCGGAATACACAATAATGAGTACTCCACTAGGAAGTCAGAAATGGAAAAGGATCTGGGAGTCACTGTAGACCACAGATTGAATAATAGCTTGCAATGCCAGGCTGCGGTAAACAAAGCGAGCAGAATACTGTCTTGTATTAAAAAGGGAATGTACTGTAGAGACAAATCTATAATTTTGCCACTTTATAGATCGCTGGTTCGGCCTCATCTGGAATATGCAGTCCAGTTTTGGTCACCAATCAACAGAAAATATGTCACGGAGCTGGAGAGAGTCCAGAGAAGGGCAACTGAACTAATTAAGGGGATGGAGGACCAAAGCTATGAGACAAGGTTACAAAACTTAAATATGTTCACGCTGGAAGTGATGAGATTAAGGGGGGACATGATTGTGATGTACAAGATATTCAATGGTGATAGCAACATCAGCAATAAACTTTTTACGGTAAACCTAAAATTAGTGGAGAAAAGTTTAACCACAAGTGGCGTAGGGGATTCTTTTCAGTTAGGGCGGTTAGGGCAGTGGTGGCGAACCTTGGCACTCCAGCTGTGCCAAAATTACAAATCCCAACATGCATCTGCCTCTGGGAGTTATGGCTGTGGCTGTCAGAGCCTTGCAATGCCTCATGGGACTTGTAGTTCCAAAACAGCTAGAGTGCCATGGTTCGCCACCACTGGGTTAGGGTCTGGAACTCTCTGCCACAAGCAGTGGTATCAGCTGAGAGTATTGAATCATTGAAAATGCATTTAGACAATTTCCTCAGAGACTAACATACAGGGGTACAGGTACCTTTAAAAAATAAGATTACACGGGAACTAGTACACACACATACACATGCAGAATCCAAAACATACACACAATGGTTTGAACTTGGTGGACCTGTGTCTTTATTCTCATAACCTCATTTCATAACCTCAAATACTATGTAACTATGTCAGTTCTTTTGTAAAGTTGCATAATAGAAGTTTGCATATCCAGAAGGGCAACACAATTCAAATGTTTGTGTAAACATGCAATTGCCATGACATCAATAATATTCTATTGTCCGGTGAGATGTGTAAGCAAAACAAAATAAATGTAAGTGAATTGTCGTTAACTGTAATCTCTCTGCAGTGTTCTCAGACCTTGTTCCTCTCATATTTTTCCATGAGGAACCACAGAAGACCATTGTTTTTATTTGCCCATTGTTTCTCTATCCATTGGTCAATGTATTCCGGTAAACTATGGGTGATTTCACTACATCACTGCTAGATAAGGGTCCCCACTCTTGAACGCACACGGTGCTGTCAATGAGACACACTTTGAAAATTACGGTTATAGATTTGTTATAATTAAAAATAAAGATGCTAAATTGAAAACTGACAAACTGATAATATTTAGGTGTTGCCATTTACTTTTTTTTTTTGGTTTGTATATTTCAGAAACCTGTACTGAGGCAATGTGGAGGTTGCCATTGCTGACTGATTCTTTTAAAAATAGTATATACCTGGATGCCATGCCAATCTAACACTTTTAGTATTTTTGAAGTCACAAAGAACAAGTGCAGATCATGATCAGACATTAATCTGACTTAGGCCTGGTTCACACCTGGGCGATTTGTAGCGCGTTCCTACGCTCTTCAAAACGCTCAAACAGTGAAATCCCATTAATTCCTATGGGTATGGTTCACACCTGGGCATATTAGGATTAACATGCAATTACTGTTGATAGCTGCTTGACAGGATGTAAATATTATGGGCTGAAACAGTAACTCAATAGTTTAAAAAGAACATTTAAATCTTGTAAAATATACACAGTACATCCTCAGCTACAAGATCTGCTGGAATGACTGAGTTGTGGCTAATTTGTATGAATGCCTGCCATTGCAAGGGTAGCAGGTAAAGCCTATGCTAATGAGAACAATCTAATTAGTCTCAAATTCAGTATAATTATAGCACTTGTTTATATTTCTGGTTATAGTTTTTGCTTCTGGCTTTCCAAAGAACTCTGCTAATTTGACATTGTTTATTACAGGCGTTTTACTGGCCATCTTGCTAAGTTGGCAAGCCAAGTCACTGCAGTGGATTTTATGCAGAACTTTATTGAGAAAAACCGAGAGGACAACGGTTACCGTGGAAACATTACCTTTATGCAGGCTGATGTCACTCATTTAGAATTTCCTGATAACAGGTAAGCTGGTGCTCTAAGATAAATTGATGTTTAATCACAAAGAATCACTGTCTAATTTGTTCTCTATCTTTTTAGTTATGATTTCATCTTCTCTAACTGGCTCTTCATGTATCTAAATGATACTGAGCTAGTATCACTGACACAGAAGATGTTGGGATGGCTGAAACCTGGTGGTTATCTCTTCTTTAGGGAGTCCTGTTTCTATCAATCAGGTCAGTATTAAACACCTTTAGTTGGTTTTACAGTTATTACATACAAGCTGGGTTTACAGTTATTACATACAAGCTGGGTTTACAGTTATTACATACAATCTGCAATAATTAGACATGTGCGATTTGTACATTCGGATGCATCCAAATTTCTAAATGACAGAAATAATGAATGCAAACAAATCCGAATTTCCGATAACAAAAATTATGAATGCATACGAATTTCTTTCCCGAATTAAGTTTAAAAAAAAAAACAACACATTTTTGCTTGGCCTCATTCACACTGAGCGGATTGCAAATCGCGCGATTGTCATTTTGCACGATATCAAGCGGTTTTCCGCATAATGTTGCGCAAATTATTGCATTGGACCGAGTACAATCGCGCGACATCTGCACAAAAAAAGGGTCCTGTAGCAGCGACGCGCGACAGCGACAAGCACAGCTCCATAGACTTGTATTGGAGAGCGATATCACGTGGATAATATGCGCGATAAATCACTCAGTGTGAATGGGGCCTAAGCAGTAGTATGTATGAATTTTTGTTATGAACACATTTTCGTTGCAGCAAAGTGACATTAGACAGAAGAAAAATTACTTTTTTTTTTTTTTTACAGTCCTACAGTCCACAGAAAAAAAAAAGTGAGGTTCCCCCCCAATTGATACCAAACCCTTTAAGTCTGGTAGTAATGTTAGGAGGGACTCCCCCAAGTTAAAAAAAAAAAAGGTCCTGCAGGTCTTGTAGGAATTTTAAGGGGGAACCCCACCCCCACAAAATGGGGGGAAAAAAGTGGGTCCCCTCTAAAATTTCTACCAGACCCTTGACCTGAGCACAGGCCCCGCAGGGCAGGAAAGGGGGGGGGGGGGCGATCAAATGCTCTCCTGCACAATACCAGGCCACATGTCCTCAGCATTGGGAGGGTGTCACCATACCGATGGGGACAAGGACCTCTTCCCCACAACCTTGGCCCGTTGGTAGTGGGGGTCTGCGTGCAGGGGGGCTTATTTGCATCAGGGTACCCCTTTAGTTAAGGGGGCACCCAGATACCCCTGCTCATTCACTAAAGGATTAAAAGGAAATAAAGAGACCACGTGTTTTGAAAAAAAGTTCTTTAATGAAAAAACTGTTTTTAACAAGTCCTTTATTTTAAAAAAATGGCTCCAGCGTCAGTCACGATGAACGACGCCCGCCGTCCCACCGAAATAAAAAGACGATGACCCGTTCAAACCCAACAAAGACTCACCGCAAAATTACATCTCTGGCCAGAATGTAAACAAATGGGTGGAGTGAACTGCGACGTCACGGGGCTCTTTCCTCCCATTTGACATTCTGAGCTGTCAAATAGCACAATAGCATTCGGGAGCTCCCGAATGCCATTTGGGTCTGCGAGCCGAGATGTCATAAGAATAGTATTAAGACATACTACTCTTAACATTCCTACCAGACTTAATGGGTCTGGTATCAATTGGGGGCCAACCTCACGCTTTTTTTTTCCTGCGTACTGTAAAAAAAACAAAACATTTTTTGTCTGTCACTGTGTCGCAACGACAATTCGTTCATAACGAAAATCCGTACATACTACAGCTAACGAAAATTCGGATTTCGTCTGAATCCCAAACGAATTGACCTTTGGACCTGAATCCCGAAATAACGAAAAATCCAAATGAAAACAAAACAAATTTTTTGCCGGCGCACTTGTCTAGCAATAATCACATTGATGGACAAACATCAAGGTATTTTAATATAGCAGTGTAATTTTTAAAAATGCTTTATTACACTTTTTTTTTTGTTTTGAATAGAATGTCTAAATATCATACTTGTATAAATGCTGTACTGTTTTTACCAGGTATTTATGATTTTTAAAGCTCAACCCATGCACTTTGCAGCTTTTGTATTCAGCAAAATTAGGAGCAGTGGTAGAGAAAGCATTGGTGTTACTATACTGTGAGGTCAGAAGTGGCTTAAATATTCCAGATTAAAGAAGCCCTTTCCATTTGGACTCTTGGACAAAGTGAATGCCTGAATAAAGTGCAGGGTGGTACCTTTTAAGATCATTGAGTATTCCAGGGGATCCATAGACCAGTATGCTTTAATATGCACATAGCAACTTGGGAAAGTGATGCCAAGGGCTCACATCATATTTTGGAAACAATAGTGGCAAGGAAGGGTGAACTAGACCTCGACTTTACGTTCCCATATCGATATTTGCATATTTGAGTGCCCTAGGCTATGGAAGAACTTGAAAGGTCCATACAGACACTTAAGGGTAATTGCTGTTGATTCAAGCTGACACCTTACCTAACTTTACCTAACAGTTTGAAAAAAAAAGGTAACTTTAACCTAAAAATCTACAATGAGGTGTTTTAGCACATGTTGAATTAAATACCGTATATACTCGAGTATAAGCCGTCCCGAATATAAGCCGAGGTACCTAATTTTACCACAAAAAACTGGGAAAAAGTATTGACCCGAATATAAGCCGAGGGTGGGAAATGAGGAAGCTACTGGTAGATAGATACCAATAAAATTACATGAATATTTATTTAAAAGAAAAACAATAACCTAGCTCTGTAAGTGGAAAAGGGGGTACAGGGCTACATATCATGTACTACGGATCATTTAACCCATTCATATTAGCAGAGGATAATTGTAAATCTATTGTTCAGTGCATTCTATATGTAGTATATAGTACATGTACATATAGAGTGCCTGCAACAATACATTTACAATGATCCTCTGCTAACATGAATGGGTTAAATGATCCATAGTACAGGGCTACATACAGATCATTTAATACATTCATGTTAGTATAATTGTAAATGTATTGTCTGCACTGTATTAGCAGTATATACTCTATATAGAGTATATACTGCTAATACAGTGCAGACAATACATATATAATTGCTTAATAAATCTCCCTCTCTCTCTACCCCCACCAGCCCTCACTGTGTCCGTGTGCCGGTAATCGATCATCACATCACGGAGAGAGCAGGGACGAGTCAGCGGCGCGCTGGTCCAGTGGGAGGAGCTCCAGGTGGGGTCCTAATTTAGCTGACTTAGAGGTGCCTGCCAGCTAAATTACAACCCCACCTGGAGCTCCTCTCGCCTGACCAGCGCGCCGCTGACTCATCCCTGCTCCCCTGCTCCTGACTGGCCGCTGCGGGGTTTTTTTTTTTTTTTCTTACTTACCTCGCCGAGCGTCGCGTCACTGCTGCTCCGGTGGGCGGCGCTCCGAGCGGGGTCATCTGGCAGTCTCCGGCCACCTAAATTAGGACCCGGAGACTGCCAGATGACCCCGCTCGGAGCGCCGCCCACCGGAGCAGCAGTGACGCGAGGTAAGTAAGAAGAAACCTGACCACTGGACCTCGCTGACTCGAGTATAAGCCGAGGGGGGCACTTTTCAGCAAAAAAAATGGGCTGAAAATCTCGGCTTATACTCGAGTATATACGGTATATAAAGCTTTCGAGGACCAAAAACTGGCATCATTTTTGGCCCCGCACAAATAAAATATTGGATCTAAAACTTTTAGTACAGAGGGAATATGATGACACAAGGAAATGTATGAGGTGTCCTACAACTCTTCAGTATTCCGTCATATTTTCATTTCAGCAGTCAAGGATTGTATAAGTTGTGCTGTACTGCTCAGCACATCTGGAATGTTGGGGGACATTTCATGAATGCATGATGTGAAGCCCAGTTTCTTTTTATGGTTGAATAACTTTTATTAAAGCTTTTACTATAACAAGACAGTAGATATAAATTCAAGCAACGTATGTAAGTGAACATGAGCTCAACAAACAGTAAATACACCAAATATTAAAATATGAAGACAACAAGGTCCGTCTCCTTCAGGAACACATGAAACCATAATGAGACTAAAACATATCACGGTCCCAAAAGAACAACCTTGTTGCTGGAAGTCTATCAGGATCAGCACCAAATGTCTATAACCAACACAATTGAGCCCTTAGAGAAAATAACGGAAGCTGTAAAAAGAGCGAAAACAGAGAAAATGAATCCAGGAAAGAACAGAAAAGAGTAGCGCTAGAACAAAGAGGAAGAGAGGGAACATAAGGTATGCCTTGGGGGGAGCCCAATTTCCCTGTATTTTTGTGACAATCCAGGTGCAAAAAGCTGTCCAACCATGACATACATATGAAGCATGAACCATGTGTTGCCTCTCTCGTTTCAGAAATTGTAGTGTGGTTTAGATAGATTTTTAGGCCATATTAATATTTGAATAGCGTTATTTTGGATCTGCGTAAATATTAAAGATTAGTGACACGTTTTCCTTCCTAGGGAACAGTGAACGAACATTTAACCCTACGGTGTATCGTACTCCTGCTCAGTATAACCATCTATTGACATCAGTCACTTCACTGCCTGGAGACAGTGGTTTTGAAATTGTGATGTCTAAGTCTGTGCAGACATATATTAAGGTGAGCAGATGTTTTACACTCTTTATCTCTACCACACCTATCATTCACTCTAAAGCCAGGCATACACGCTTCGAATTTCATCAAGAACTGGCTGAAATTCATTGCATGGGTGCAGCCGTTGGCACCTTTCCGACCGGCATCCCTTGATCAGCTGAAGTCAGAAAATTGTTGGCCGAATAGAGTTAGCAGCCAATGAGCTGCCAGCTCTGTTCAGGTATTCTGACAGTGGCTGGCGGCCACTCTTTGTTTCTTTGTTATTATTCAAAATATTCTGTTGAATGAATAATCAAAGGCAAAACCAGAATAAATCAAACCAGAATCATGGAATAAACAATGATTAATGATTACTATGGAATAAACAATGATTACCTTTGCCAGATTCAAGTTACTTCAGAGAAAATTGTGGGTTCTTCTTTTTTGTGGAAGTGTACAAAAAAATGTGTCAATGCCTGAATATGACCGGTTTTGTTAAAGAAGACTTAAATTCTATACTAATCCTAAACTGTTATTCCGCTGCCTTAGCCCAATGTAATAAGATCCCTGCAAAACTTACGCGGTAGCAGCTCTAGGCTTATTCTCCTATAGTTGCATAGGAAGGTGAGTGGTGATTTAGGGAGATCTAATGATTGGCTGCCTTTGCCTAAGCAGCTAATCATTGGCTTTGCCAGGACACAGATCTCAGCCCCGCAGCGCATCAGTAACGGGTGGGAGCCTGGAAATGCTGCCTGATACTTTTTATAGGGGGTCTATTAAGCAAGACACTTGTTGGTTTTCCAACAATGTGAAATGGAACCCACATTGTTTGGTCAAGCTAACTTTAACTAAACATACTGTTGTGAGCGGAATTGATCAAAACTGGAGCAGAGAAAATCTGGAGCAGCTGTGCATGGGAACCAATCAGCTCCTCTTTTTCATTTTCAAATCTTAACTGAATAATCTGAAGAGAGAAGCTGATTGGTTGCTCTGTGCAACTGCTCCAGATTTTGTCTGCTCCAGTTTTGATGAATACCCCTGTGTGTGCTTGTCTGTAGAGAACACTTGTTTTCCCTTAATCCATCTTTGTGTTACAAACTACACCTTCATCTATAGCCTCCTTCAGGATGCTTCTATTGTCATTTGCTACCTCTTCTTTAATTTAGATCTCTGTGTTTTCCATAATGTTAACTACATTCCAACAAAAAATAAATAGGTGCTGTAGGAATAGCATTCATTTGCTTTCAATACAGTACAGGAAATTCACTTTGTGTATACAGAAAAAGAAGAATCAGAACCAGTTATGTTGGCAACTGCAGAAGGTCCCTCGGGCACCTGATGGTCACCAGGGCTATGTGACATTTCAGCAGTTCCTGGACAACCAGCAGTATTCCCGAAAAGGAATTCTAAGATATGAAAAGATATTTGGTGATGGCTTTGTTAGCACTGGAGGGCTGGAAACCACTAAGGTGAGGCCTAGTTAAAATGGTAAAAGCAGTTGGAATGGATTAATAAACACTGGGTACATTGGCTGAGAATTCTCACCGTAGTTTGTGTTCATCTGAGGAAAAAGTAGACAGTTCCTGCTCTGGATATACTGATTCATGCAGATTGAATGTATTCCCAAAGGTGGTACTGTGTAGAATTTTTTTTACATGAAAAATATAGAGTGGTACAGCTTTGTGGATCGAGTTTCAGTTACTGGAACTGCACTGAAAGGTTTCATTCACATTACATTCTTTTTCTTTGCAGGAATTTATTTCCATGCTGAACCTTGCACCTGGTCAGCGGGTTGTGGATGTTGGCTGTGGCATCGGTGGAGGAGACTTCTACATGGCCAAGGTACATTTCTATTCTTGAAATTCAACCAGAGCATACAGCCCTACATAGGATTGAGTGAGTTGCTCCAGTCCAACTCTATCCTGTTTGTTTGTGCCCTGTTAAACCTGTTTTGCTTAGCAGTGTGTAATGCAGGAGAGGTGTTCCCAAACACACCCACTTTGTTCTGCACTGTGTGTGTTTGTGTGTGTGTGTGGCATCTTCATGGAGGCAGTGTTTTGCTTCCTCATGTCCGAGCCTCCAGCAAGTAGAACAGTGAGTTACACAGTAGTGGCATCACAAAATCTTATTCCAAAATGTCTTGAGATGTGAAATTAGGGCCACAGTGCCTTACTACTCACACTGCAGATATACAGCTTTACAACAGAATTTCCTTAGCACGCCAACATACCAGGAAGTGCCCTGCTGTTTTAGGAGGAATTCCAGACAGAGGTGCTGTTTAGGCAAAAACATTTTTAATGTTCCTTATAACATCTAGCAAATCGTTACAACTTCACTCTTTGTATGCGCTGCTTGTTCCATGAATTCCTATGATTGGGTTCCATACTCTCTTTGATGGCAGCCATAGGAATGAACATAGTGATTGGCGAGGTGTACAATAGGTACAAGGCACGGACGGAACTTTTTTGTTCAATGGCTGTGCGCACCGTGCAGGGTGGCAGAGTGAATATCTTTGCAACAGGGTTGAAGGTAGTTATATAGCTGTATGGCTAACACGTGGGGGGTGGGAGGAAGCTGTAAAGGACAACTTAGTTAAAATGAAATTATCCGTTAAGCAGTATAAAATTCAGCAGTTATTAGTAATTTGATGTATCTTCTGCAAAAAGCCAAACTGTATTTTTCTTTTTGGTTGAGATATTTATATTTATATATATTTTTTGAAGACGTATGGGGTGGAAGTCCTGGGGATGGACCTGTCGTCTAACATGGTAGAAATTGCCATGGAGAGAGCCATAAAGGAGAAGACCCCTCTGGTGAGTGATGTATCTGAATCAGTTTAGGGGCTTAATTTATTAGATTTTCCAAATTGATCAATTTATTTAGTGATATTCCTGTTCACTAAACACTACTGCTCTGATTATGCTACATTTTCCTCTGGTTAAACAAATGTAATTTCTTCCTGCATCAATAGGTACAGTTTGAAATTGGAGATGCCACACGACGGATCTTCCCAGAAGCATCGTTCGATGTGGTGTACAGCAGAGACACCATTCTGCACATCAATGACAAGGGAGCACTCTTCAGGAGATTCTATGTACATCCATTTACTAATTCTATACTTGGCAGCAAGACATTTTATGAAAAACTGTGTGTTTTTATAGCATGTAAACATTTGAGTGCTGATTCATAAAACCTGGAGATAAGTAAAAATATTGGATTGGTTGCCCTAAGCAGTTAATTCTTGTTTAATATTTGGCTTTAAAGGAAACCTGTACCAAGCAAGTATGGACGCTGCCATTGCTGAACTCTCCTTCTGAAAACTATAACTGTCTGTCATGCTGCTTCTGTACTTTCTGAATCATTGGTGTACAGATCAGACTTCACACTGCCTTTCATGAATTGCATGTTTGTTCCATGTCATTGCCTCAGACAGTATTAAAGCCAGAGACAGCCTGGCAACTAGGATTTTGATCCAGAGGTTAGCAGTGTTGGTCTCCATATTTTTCTTAGCACAGGTTTCACATACACTTCCTAAATCTTTGAACTATTAGATAGCGTATAACGAGACAATGGTGATCTTTTTCCTCACATTTGCAGTGTAGTTGTCCATTCTTAAAGTGCGTGTAAACTCTAACAATTAACTTCTCTTATTTGCTCTCTTTTGGTCTGCCAGCTATACCTTTGAAAGTGTTTTGTTATATCTACTCAATAAGTGAAAACATACCTGTTGATTTTTCCATAACTTTTGTAAACCGATAACCTTCTGTGCTTTCTGAGGGGTTATGGAAATGAGAAAAGGGGAGGAGATGAGGAGAGGGCTGACACCCTGTGCTTAAAGGAGAACTATGGGGTCAGTGTTTTTCCCCATAGTTCTCCTTAGGGTTACGGGAGGACACAAACTAGTGTCCTCCCGTTACCCTAAGGTTAGTACACCGCGAGCTACAGCTCGCGGTATACTGAGATGCCGCAGCCGGAGCGGATCCCGACGTAGATGACGGAATCCGCCCAGCTGCGTGAGTGACAGCTGGCTCTGCCTATCTAGAGGCAAAGCCAGCTGTACCCGCTCCCTCCCCCGTCCGTTCCGCCAGTCAGCGCTGGCAGATCGGAGAGGGGAATCCAGCCCCTCCCCCTGTCACGGCAGAGAGCGGGGACACGATCGAGAGGTGAGCGAACCTGGTATGTGTTCGCTCACCTCCCGATCTACTGAGCCGACCTGTGACAGTCTCATTGTCACAGGTCGGCTAGAACTATGAGGTGAGTGGAAATCACTCGCCTCATAGTTCTCCTTTAAGCACGAGCTGTGTCGTCACGTCAGTGAGAAAGGTTAGAGCACACTGCTTGTGGCACATCAACAGTAATTTTTCTGTAATTGAAGCATAGTTTAAGGGGTAAAACATGGGAAAATGTGCATGTATTGCAAAGATGTACTAAATATGTTTTTATTTTTGCCTTGACATAACCTTTATTACATTTTTCTGTCCTTTTCTCTAACAGTCTTGGCTAAAACCTGGAGGAAAACTCCTAATTACGGATTATTGTTGTGGGGAACAGCCTTGGTCTCCCGTATTTCAGGAGTATGTGAAGCAGAGAGGATATATTCTGTACACACCTGAAGAGTATGGACAGGTATTGTATTTGGTGCCCTATTAACTCTAAGGCTTTTTAAACATTAAGGAGATTTATTTTATACAACTCAGTGAGAGTTGAGAGCTACAAATTATAGTTGTTTAGACTATATCACCAGACTGGTAAAATAGGAATCACTTACTTAGCTTCCTGTGAAAAGTCTATTGTGAGATTCTTTCTAATAGTTAAAAAAAGAGATATATTTGAGCATTACATAGTACCATTCAATGAAATAACTTATTTTTCCTTTCTCATTCATTGAGGGACACAGGAATGTTGGGCTATACTGCCACCTACCAATACATTTGGACACTGGCAAATTAAAAACAGTGGCAAGCCCAGTATAAGCCCTCCTACTCCCAGCCCAAGTTTTCTGCTAGTGTAATAGGAAAATACTCTGCTGAGAAAAGCCTTAATTGTTTATATTTTCAGTGACAATATACACTCAAATTAATTTTAGTGCATACAAACATGTTATTGCATGCCCGCATAGTGAATGCATGCGTTTGCATTCATGTACGTGGGTGCAGGGGACTTTTTACATCGTTGTAGGTGTTTGTTTTTTTACCTTTTAATTCCTTTAAAAAAATATGCTTATTAACATTTAAAGTCCATCTCCATTTAAAAAAAATAAAAAATACCCTTGCAATGGGGCTACCCCCGTCCTGCAAGGGTTAACTGCTCGTATTTGTCTAGGGGGACTCTGTAAAGCAATTTTATTTACCTGATCCCCTCTCCCTTGGTGTCCATACTCACCTCTGCCCTCAGCTCTGGCCTGTTGACTGTCCCTCTTTGTCCTCACATATATTGCAAGGCTATGGGCTGTGCAATAGATGTGATGATAGATGTGAAAGGTTGCAGACACTGGTCTTGGAGCCAGCTGGAGTGAGCATCATGTAAATAAAAGTTCTTTACAGAATTCACCTAGACAAATACAAACAGTTATCCCTTGCACTCCTGGGGTTCCCCTGGAGATAGGCTTTAACTGTATTTATTAAACTTGCTGTAACTTTTCAAGCACCATTTTAGTGCTTACATGTGTTAACCCCTTACAGTTATCAGAACACAACTTTTTCATGAGAGTGGTTCTTTTGGTATGGTTGAAAGCAGGGCGGGTTTTACTCTGCTGCCCAAAGGTTCCTCACTGCACCCTCCTCCCAGCAAAATTTCCCCCCAATGGAGAATGGCAACCAGCAATCATGGATTGCTGAGATTTGTAGTCTTCTATAGCCAGTTGCCATTCTCTATTGCTGTATAATCATTAATTATACAGCAATGGAGAATGGCAACTGGCTATAGAGGACTGCAGATCCCATCAATCCATGATTACACAGCAATTATACAGGGGTGCATGCATATCGCACCAGGGCTGCGTATGGGTCTCAGCAGGGATGCATGCAAGTGTCATCGGGGCTGCCTGTGAGGCTCTGTTGGGTGGGTGCCCAGCTCTCCAGAGCTCTGCATGCGGCTGCTGAGCTCTCTAGGGCTGAATAGGTGGGATCCAGGCTTGTGCTGGGCTCCAGGGCTGTTCTGGTGGGTGTGGGGTTGTCCTATGCTGGCGCCCGGAAGGAGGAGGAGGCAATGTGGAGCTGGACTGGCACTATCAAAGACAGCTACCTGAGGTCCCCAGCAAGCTCAGGACCTCAGGCAGCCTAACTTCCTAAAAAATTTAAAGGTCCCACGGGTGTTATTTTTTTTTAAACTACTTGTCCAAGGAGTAAAGGGAGGGCCCAATCTACTTGTCCCTCGTGACAATCTACTTGTCCTGATACAAAAAATAACAAAACTGTATTTTACCGTGCTAAGAAGCACTTCTCATTGGACAGTGTGGTCAGTGTGTGAGCGAAATTCAAAATCCATGGTGCAGGGCTGCACTGGATAGCAGTATGGGGTACAGATAGTACACCCATATCGGTGGAGGGGAAGGTGGAGCAGGTAATTCCATATTCTGAAATGAACCTACCCTTTAATGCACATTGTGTGCGTTAGAGAGCGCTGCTGCACAGCTACCATACTTTGGCGCACAGTGGAATGGGGGCAGCACTCAACGCACACAGACACAATGTCCTACGCATGTGTTTAATCATGGCAGGTTTGATTTTAATGTTTTTAATCTTTTTTTTTCTTCCTTTATCACTTTTTTATTTGTATCCTTTTTTTCCTTTTTTAAATTTGTATTTATCTTGATATCTTTTACTTTTTTTATTTTTTTTTCATTTTTATCAATTTCAATTTTTTTCCCCATGTTTTTTACTTAACTTTATTGCTATCACACAGGAGATAACAAACCCCTGTGTGATAGCATTTGGAGGTCACCGGCTCTCTTTATTGAACCTGTTACTTCCAATACAGGTGTTTAAGCACAGCACTATGCTGGCTCTCCTTTGGCAGCTGAGATGGGAAGACTGCGAGTGTAGCGTTCCTGACTCAGTGTTCACATGGAGCAGAGAACGGATGTTCATCGCTCTGCTCCCCGCTCTCCATCCTGAACTACTTTGTTGTGGTCCCTGGTCCCCCAGAGGAGCGGGGGACTCTGAAAACCATGGCGGGGAGGGAGGTGGCCAGTGGGGAGAGAGGCAGCCGGTGGGGAGAGAGGCAGCCGCGGTAAGGGAGGATCATGGGGGGGGGATAGACCTTCAGGCTTATTACAAATGATCTTGGCTGCATTTTACAAAATCATGGGCTGTCTCCCTGTGGGCACCTAGTTTACACCTCTCCCCCTAAATTCAATAGATTTCACAAAAAATGGGGGGATATAAGGGTTTCTGGAGGGGTGTAAATGACCGTCCAAGAGAGATATATAAAAAAATATATCAAAATGTATTTTGTTTTAAATACTATTAAAAATGATACATTCATACATCAAAACAAAACAAATCCCTGCATAGGAAATGTTTGTATATTCACTGATATAGTACATAGCTCTAAATATCCAATTGGTCATACATATCATGATCTTATTCACATATTTTTCAAATAAAGAAACATTTTTGTATATAATAATACATTTAACCCATCTGTTTTGTACATATAATGTACAAAACAGATGGGTTAAATGTAGAAATGAACTACCTGCACAGGGCATTGGGTGATAGGAATTCCACACCTCTGGGACCAGTATCGGCTGTGCTGCCCCTCTACTCCCTGCCGCCCCAAGGTCATGGCCTTGCTGGCCTTGTGGGGAATCTGGCCCTGGTTGGGAGTGCAGTAATATAAAAGTATGGCACAAATACATTCAGACATTTACATTTTAAATTCCTTTTCTCTCTACAGCTCTTAGAGAAAGCTGGATTTGTAAAAGTTCAAGCTCTGGATCGGACCCAACAGTTTGTACAAGTCCTGAATAACGAACTTACAAGGACACAGGAAATAAAGCAGGAATTCATAGAGGTATATTAAACAGGACTGAATCACCAGACGTTTTTCTAATTCATAATTTCTCACACAATCTGAAGCAGCTACATTTTTCATTTTTCTTTAATTACTTCACAGAGTTTTTCTGAAGAGGATTACAACTACATCATTGATGGTTGGAAAGAAAAGCTTTATCGCTGCAGTTTAGGAGATCAGCGCTGGGGTTTGTTCTATGCTGAGAAACCTCTGGAGATCATTACTTAAGCCTTCTCTTTATTTAGTCAATATGAATGTTTGAATAGAAAATTGTTTCTATGTTTACACAGTATTCCTAAAATTAATAATTATACAGATTGATATCCTATGTATGTTCTATTTAGTCTTTCTATAGCACTTTATAGGTATTGTATAAACGGCATAAATGTTATTTAATTTAGGGAAACCCATTAGGTCCAAATGCTAGATGCAAGGTAAACTAATGGAAAGTTTAGCATTTCTACATAGGCCTTCAGTCTAAAACGATTCACACTTCAAGAAAATGTCTATACATCATTTATATTTAGGATATTTCAGTGTGATTGATATGGATGAAGACCAGACTGCTTATCTTTAAGTAAAAAACAGGAATGTTGCCAAGGAAAGCCGTGTGATTTTTAACCGTTAGAAGTATTTTATGGTTCCAGTATCAGACTTTCATGGTAACCAGTTTGTCAGAAGACCACTATAAGAATGGACAACACTGCTTTAAATAAGGCTTTAAATCAAGAGCCCTTGAAAGAAGTCCTTAAATTCTCCCTAAAAATTTTATGCAAGGGATTTAACATTTTACACCAAATACTAATAATTTGTATCTGACTTTCATTGCTATTTTACAGAACTGTAAATCTTTAACTTTGACCCTTACCCAATTTATACTACCTCTTACTGGCTCTTACTGGTAGCCCAGTAGGGAAGAGATGTTCCCTGCCAGAACCAGCTTCATTGTAATCATAAAGGTCAGATGCCTAACGCTTCCAATATTAATAGTATTCCTCATAAGCCATGATGAAAAAGGTATTTGATTTCCATGATTACATACTGTAGGTTTCACATTATGTACCAATAAAAGCACTTTGTTGTGTTATGTGAACAACACATTGGTAAAATCTATAACAGATGGAAAAACTGGAAGTGTTTGACTTCAGCTGAAAGTCTTATGATTTCAAAATAAAATATTTTTGTGGTTTGTTTATATGTGCATTTGTAGTGTTGAATTCGTAGTTCTGAAATTATGCCTGTGAAGTCGCTGTGTGCAATAGTGGTACATGACAGCCAGCAATGAGTCACGTCAGTGCCAAGTCATGATATAGGAAGTTAAGGACTTTAATAATGTTAATGACCATTATGAACCCTTTTTATAAAGCAAATAATACTAAAAAGGCAATGTATAGTATATAATAACTACTGTTCAGGTTAGTAAGTATGGTAACAGGGTGTTGGTCAAGGTAAACATGTGCCCAGATTGTGCGCACTAAAGTATTTACATATCCTAACAAACATTAAAAACACTTTAAACCAATCATCATTTAGCTTTGAAGCTCTAGTCATTGTGTAGACATTAATCTTCACAAAAAAGTTCACAACAGAAGCACTGAAATACTAACTAGTCATATCACTTTAATTGCTGCAGCAATCTTGGCAGCCTGCCGGGCATTCAATGTAAACAAACACCAGGTGTATCTAAGCTGTTGCAAACTGACTTTATGATCATTTAGGATCTTTGAGAATTAATTACTTCAAGTAACTAGAGAGGTCAGGGATGGCTTTGTGGCTCTTTAGAGCTAGTTAAAGGAGAATTATAGCCGACGTGTGACAAGTGATCTATTGATAGAGAACTGAGATGATGGCTCAGTTGGCAATCTTCTCCCTGCAGAGAGCGGTGACTGACACCCTCCTACGGATTCCCTCCTACTCTCTCCATTCCTCCAGCACTCACTGGAGGGACGGATGGGGGTGGGGGCGGGCACAGCTGGCTTTGGCTGTAGAGAGGCAGAGCCAGCTGTCAATCAGGTGGTGGGGTGGATCCCGACAATATTGTCGGGATCTGTCCCGGCCTTCAGCATGGCTCTGCTCTGTCAATATATAGCGAGCAATAGCCCTAGAGCACTAGAGAGAATAGCAGGTGCACACCTGCTGAGCCCGGCTTCCGCCAGCATCAGCAGTTATCACAAAAAAGTCCGGTTACACACCGCAAGCTTTGTTGAAATTTTATTTTATTGTAGCACACATCATCTGTCAAGCCCGTTGTTGGGTGAAACATGTCAGAGTGAGGAGAATCCACAGCAGGGCGATGTGTACCCGTGTCCTACACTGAAAACAAAAGAGTAAGGTGAGTAAGATTTTTTGTGAGTAAGGTGAGCAGCTGTTTAAAGATCAAAATGGCCCTCAAAATATACTAGACTCAAAACAAAACAACACTTATACTTATATTACAAATACATACACTGAGTGGCCAGATTATTATGACCACCCGATGTTTGTTGGCAAATTAGCTATAATTTTGCGCTGAAGTTGCTAGAGGGCCAGACCATTATAAATAGGGAAGCAGGTTGTTTACCACGACAGTAGAAGTGATTTTTTTCTGAAGATATGGGTAAACAACGCGATTTAACAGCCTTTGAACGTGGGATGATTGTTGACGCTCAGAGCCATGGAGCGAGTATCAGGAAAACAGCAGAATTCGTTACATTTTCAAGAGCAGCTGTTGTTATAGTGTTTAAAGACTGGACTGTCAGACGAAAATCTGGGTCTGAACGTGCGAATTGTGGCCGTCAGCGACTAGTCAATGTTAGGGCAGAACGGAGAGTGGCAAGACTGGTACAAGACAACAGAAGGGCAACAGTGCAGTGTCAGATTCCTCGCATCACCTTTCAACATCTCGCAGAGTCACGAGGCGGCCCAACGAAGTCATCTCGTGGAGTCATCTCGTGGCCCAACGAAGTACTAATGGGGTGGTCATAATAATCTGGCCACTCAGTGTATAAATGTGGATCTATAATCAATGAACAATCACATTAAAAATCAATTGTGACAAATTCTGTGAAATGGAAAAAGTCCTGAGAAGTACATAAATCTTCATGTGTTTTACAAAAAAACCTTCTCGTGTGTCCACCAAGTGGCACAATTAATCTCCACCAGATAGTAAAACTCCAGAACTGATGGACCAACTGTTACAGAAGGTCAAAACAGCATGGGAGAAAATGGGGTTTGTTTAGGAGCCGCTGCAAATTTCTTCTTCTATATCAGAGGATTTATAACTTCTGGTAATTGTAAATAGACAGAAAACAAGCTCACAGTATAATACAGTTTATTAAAATCAAAGGGATAAAAGCAGACAAATAAACTCACATTTAACTAGTGCACCAAGTACTATGTTTTTTTGTTGTGACTGCAAAAATCCTGGTGTTAATATTCACTCCAATGATCCAGTTATTAAAACTGGTAAACTGGGCCGTATCCAGTGATTACCCAACCCGACCTGATTATGAAAACTAATAATAGCCCTGAAGTAAAGCATTGATTAGACAGACTGAACAGCAATAAAGGCAATAGATTGTTAACAGCGGAATCATTTGGCAATAAAATACATTGAAAAGTAGGGATGCACCGATACCGATACACATGTATCGGTGCCGATGCACGAGTATTTGGGCGAGTATTTGTACTTGCCCAAATGCTGCAATACTTACCTCCGATACCGGAACTTCCAGTCAGAGGAGGATCTCCCTCTGACCGGCAGTCCCAAGGGAGCATGGAGCCGGCTTCCTTTCCAATCAGGAAGCTGAGCAGTGGGTTATTACCCGCCTCTCAGCTTCCTGATTGGCTAGGAAGCCAGCTTCACTTGTTGGTAGTCAGTCTGGCTTACTAACCAATCATGAAGCCGGGCAGCACGTCATGACTTGACGCCCGGCTTCTGGAAGCCGGACGGCACCTAATGACCCGCCGCTCGGCTTCCTGATTGGTCAGGAAGCCAGGCAGCCTCGGCAACTGAAGCCGGTGTTCTTTCGATAGAACACCGACTTCCTAGGCAATCAGGAAGGCGGGTGAGGGGCCATAATCGACTTCCTGATAATTAGGGCACACGGCACCGTTTTCGGTGAGTACTGAAAAAAAAATATTGGTACTCGTACTCAATACCCGAAAAAACGGTATCGCTGCATCCCTATTGAAAAGAGTTGGTGTTCATTCACTTTATCGCCAGTGAAAGGACATGCCTGTAAAGTACTGGGCTAGTGGAGAACAATGCTGGAAATAGCAATAAACAACAATCAATGCAACGAATGTCTGTGATCTGTAACACAAGGAATAAGGCTTTTACGGCCTAACTGCAATTTATGAGATCCTAGCTAACCCCTGGCCAGTGGGTAAACTATCAGAGACTATCAGAAACTGTCTGCCAAAAGTTGGACCCTTTAAAGTTAACAGTGGAGCGCTCAACCGTAAAGTAAAGATTTTTGTGATTCACAGAGGTAAGAGGGTATCTTTGCAAAGTATCCCAATAACAGATAGTGAAAGGATGGTATGTTCCCCTTTAAATAAAGCTCCACTACCACCAGTAGTGTCAAAGGCCGCTAAGCAATCTGGCAGATGTTCTTTCTGAGTTTACTATTTTATCTCATGAAAATTAGTGGAAAATCAGTAAGAAATGCTGGTAATCAGGAAAGGTTTACTGCTAAAAGTATGAAACAAGTGCCCATAATAAAATTACATTGTAGATATGTGCTGCAAGCATATATTCCTTAGGGACCTTTACATCTTTGTGGTGCTTTAATGTGCATTATGCCGCATATTGCATTAAGACAGCCCAAATGAATGGGCTGCCAACGCACCATAACATGCTTAAAATAACACATGACCCTTTCTTCTAATGCCATGCAAGTACATTACCTTAGTGTGTTCAGGTGCCATTTATAATTATTTGCACTGCAATGCAGCAAGGCCTGCATCATGCGTTATGGTGCATTGTTGTAATGATCAGGTTATCGCAGCACAGAAGTATGAATATGGCCTACTGCTGCTGGTGGAAATTTATTTATAGGGGAAGACATCATTCTTTACAGATTACAGATACCTTTACTGTAGGACTGAGCACTCCACTATTAACTTTAGGGCCTCACCACTGGCAGACTCTGATAGTTTTACCTACGAGCCAGAGCTTATCTAGGTCCTCTTAAATTGCCGTTGGCCTAAAAGCTAGCATTATTCTTCTTTTGTTGCGTGGATTGTTGTTTATTGCTATTTGGGAAATCTTTCCAAACTGAGGGTAATTCCCATCTTGGAGGGTTTTCACCTGAACATTTGTCCCAATTTGACAATTTACCTTCATCTCTTATGTAGGGTTACCACCTGTCCAGGATTCACCCGGACAATCTGGGTTTTGAATGCTGTGTCCAGGTTTTGTGGCTGCAGAAACCCGTACACAAGATGTCAGGCAGACAGGGACAACCAAAATTAAGATAGGGGCTACTGCCCCTCTTCCCCCCCTCCTCCCCCACTGAAAATAGTCTCAACTGTGATATTTACATAT